AAGAAAAGGGAGGCTTTACAGAATGCATTTGTGAGTGTGCCTCCTTCAGGGGCGCGAGCCCGGGAGGCGCGCGGGGCAGGCCGGAGATGGCAATGACAAGGACACTACGTATTGCACGTACCGAAATAAAGAGTAAACTAATGGAAACTAGAGGAAATATCAGAATGGCACAAACTTTCCTGTGCTAGTATTCTATTTCATTTGTTCTCGGCTAGCTATTCGGACTTGCCACAGTATCTTGCCAGCTGCCATCTATCGCCACCCAAAGTACATTTTTTGAAGTTTTCTCAATATTTCGGTTTCCTAGTAGTAGAATGGAAATGTTATTTTAAGAATTTCAAAGGACAGTAAAACCTCGTCCTAAAAGTCAATTTTCTTTGAAAAATTTGGAGCCGTTTTTATGGAAATGGCGTTTAAGCACTTCTGTAAAGTCGAAATATTTAGCTCTTTTTCACAGAAAATTTTTGAGTTTTCGAAAAACTTATTAGAAGTCATTTAAAGCACATTAACTCACAAACACAATAGTGTTTACAAATTGGTGGAAATGTGGATGTTAGAGGCGTGAGCGATTTTCCAAAAAAATTACAATTCAGTAATTTGTGAAAAAATAAAAGAATAGAGCAATCGGATGTTGATGTCATCTCAGAGTGTACATTTAGCACTATCGCTACCAAAAGTAAAAAAAAATATTGGAGAAAGCTTTGAGAAAATCTTGTTTTTGTTATTCCTTAAAATTGCAAATATTTCACGAAATATTGCGTGAAAACTACTAAATGTTTCAAAAAATGTTTAACATTCTAATGAAAGAACTAATTATGGACAACAAATTTAATTTGAAGGAAAACTTTTATCTTGAATTTTGTAGTTGTAGGAAGATGCCGAAGAAAATTCATACGTTTGAATTTTTCGAAAATTGAGAGTTAACCATGATAATCGGAACAATGCTTTCTTAAGTGTATGTTACTATATTCGTACAAGAAATTTAAAGAAACGATTTCGAGCCATTTTTAAGAAACTTTTGAAAATGCCCTGATGTCTTTATGTAAAGTACCCCAAAATTTTAATGAATGCTTTTTAAAGTCTCAAAACTTCGACTCGAGCCAGATGGACAGGGTGTTCTTCAATTTGGAAAAAAATCTTACTCCTGGTTTATGGAGATATTCGTGTTTACAGATGCACACAGACGGACGGACGGTCGGACGGACGATCGCGCGGACGGACGGAGGGATGACGGACGGACGGACAGACGGACAAACGGACGTTTTGAAAATAACCACTTTTTCGGTATCAGAGGATCCCAAAACATGTATTTTCGTTGAAACATTGAAATCAATTTTCCGAAGAATTTCATAAGTTTCCCTATACTACGTATATTACCCCGGGAAAGTAAAAACGGTTGTATTGCTGCCGATGTTCTTGCATAGAAAACTCTTTTTAGCTAAGCCATTGATGAGTATACATATGTATTATTTTTCATTCATGCAATATTTGGACTTGAATTTGAATTATTTGAGGTTTGAGAACCAAACTGACAATTAATTTATTTTTACTGTCAAAAATGTGACATGGTAAGGGGATTGTGTGTGTTATTTTCAGATATCTTTTTGGAGTCATGCGCTTGAACAAGGTATTAACGGTGCGTCTGTTGTACAAGAGCATGGTCTTGGCGCTGGAGTTCTTTAACGCCAACGCAACGGTGAAGCGCATTGTGCCACTGGCGGTGTTCACGATGGTGGCCATAAACTGGACCGCGCGCATGTTGGTTTTTATTCCACTCTGCATCCATGGCCCCGACTTGCCCAACGTCAATGATAGCTGGGTCAACATAAAACCTGAGACCCGAGACAGGAAGCCTATCGACGAGGGGGAAACCAAGCTTTACATCCTTTGCCTTTTTCGCAGCGTGATGTTGATACTCAAGTTGGGCTTCGGTACCATGTACCCTAGGTAAGCTTACCTCAAAGTGGTCTTTCGATGATTTTAAATGCGAAATTATGCTTTTTGTCTTGTGTATTTGCGTATTTTTCTATTCTTCTCACGTGGGTAAGCGTTTATATAAGAGTAAGTTGGTTGAGACAAAGGTCATTTCAAGAGGATTAAGGTCAAAATCTGGCCTCGTTTTTACTTTCTCGATACTGCTTACGCAGAATAGAGAAAGTATTGTAATGCTGTGGGAATAAACGGCAATTGAGAGAAAAACACTTATCGCTTATCCCTGGTTACGAAGAAGTGTATAAATCTTGTCCTTATAAATATATTAAATTATTTCAACACGTTGTGGGGTCGATGGTACCGATAAATCGATTGACGGCCTGTCCGATCAACGCTAGCACCTAAACAGTTCAGCCGATTTTCGGTTCAATGTGTTCGGAATAATGCCACGGATATTCGGACTGATGTAACACACCCTTTGAGTCAAATAAGAAATGTTTTATCGATCATAAAATTGTTGTGAGGTAACGTGAGCACCACCTCCACAAAAAATCCGGTAGTAATAACATTAAATAATATTTATTCTTATTTTCTAAAAAGTAGCGAAAAAGACTGACAAATTGGGTGCTTTTGGAGTTTGTGGCACCTCTAAACGCATTTTAAAACCCCTGTTATTGGTGCCGATGTTGTTCTTGCATTGAAATCCAACAGTTTTCCAGCTTTGTTCAAACATATTCTTGCAGTATCAGGCATTAGACTTACCAATGAATCGTAGCTCATAATGTTTTACTCCCGTTCAAAAGTTCCCAATACCCAATGGCATTGTGTGTTACCTACATACAGGATATGAACTGGTCTTATTGCAATTTCAAAATTATAAACGCCGTAAAAAATACTTGCAGGTTGTTATGTTAGTACAGCTACATTTTACGTTTTCTTGCTAATTTACACAAAATTGCACATAGCACATTTGCATTAGTCCAATTGCTAAATTCAGATTATTCCCAATTATTTGCGAAACTTCTGTCGCAACATCTTTTACAACTACATTTGATTCTTCTCCGGAGACACTTCCATATTTTTCTTCCCTCATTTTTGAAGAGATTGAAACGTTACAAACTCAGTGTAATTTGTGTTCCTGTTTGTGCAGATAATTCTGCAATTACTTTATTAATCTTTTTGTATGCGAATATGGAATGCAAATATAACATTAAAAGGCGACTGCTTTCTATGTTTATGTGAATAATGTGTTAGTTAAGTTTAATAAACATAAGTTGTGGGTCACGTTCATTTGAAAATCGGTATTTGCACTCTTATGAAAGAACGTTTAAGTGAGAAGACGAGTAACATTCATTCATTCTCAAGCATTACTCATAGTTTTGTTTTCTTCGTATTTACTTGAAATTCTTCAAGTTAAATAAGTTTCGTGGCCATACTGTTTGTAGGTTGGGATGGTGGAACGGAACGATAACCCCCGATCGAGGGGGTTCGAACCCTCCACCCGCGCCGTAGGCCACGTGCTTTTGAATGACAGCGGCGCTTGTGTGCGTAGGACGGCCGAGGACGTTTTGTTAACGGTGCTGTGTGTGGTGTTGGGGCGGTTGGCGCTGTTCTTCATGATCGAGCAGGTGCTGAGCGTAAACAAATGGGTGCGGAGCCCGCGCGTGCGCTACCTGGCGCAAATGAGACTCGTGAAGGGCTTCCTGAGGCACCGCGAGGTACCCATGATCACCAGAAAGAAGGTAGGCACACAGTATACTTATTTACACAGTAGCCCAGCTCCGTGTGAAATGTTCTATGACGACGTGTTGCTGGACGACTCTAGCGATCCGCGTGGTGACAAAGGAAAACTAGGACGCCTACCTTTCGTCATACAGCATCGTTCTGCCAAAAATGACCAAAAAATGAATGTTTTAACATATTTTAATTTCTCTATGCATTTAACTAACACACTATGTGAAGTAGAAGAAAAATTACTTAAATCTAATAAATCTTAGCTATTGCAAGTGAATAATGGAATCATAAGGGAGAACAAGTATTTCTTCATGTTTCATAAAAATATCTAGAAGGTAATATAAGTAATCTAAGTAGTAAATAGGAGTATCTAGAAAGAAATAACATTTGTTCTGCTTTATAGAACTATTTGTCTCTTCTTTCTAGATACATGGAAAACTAAAAAAAACATAACTTAGGGTTCTTTACTTAAATATTGCTGCATTTAATTGTAGAACAGTACCCTATTCGGCGCACGCATTGTTATTAATGGGTAAACTGGAAAAGTAGAATAATTCAGTTGGTACATATTAAATATATCCCGATATATATCAAATCTAAAGTTTAAACGTTAGTTTTATGTAATGTTACGTGTTATTTAATGGCTTGTCCTTGAAACCGTAGGAATATAATATAGCGAGGTCATGAAATAAACGAATTAATTTGTACGTTTTAACCAACTCTTAATAAACGCCAGATGTCAGAATCAAATCCATATCTTTCGGTAGCAGCTACCTGTAATTTTAAATTTACTTTCAGGATCGCTAGCTGTACGCGCGTGCATCCGTTACCAACCAAAAACGAACTGAGCTGTCCTACTGCATGATTCGTATCGTGCAACTTTTCGTGAGCGATGACCTTGCTTACCTCTCTCTGCCACAATAAACAGATGAAGGAAAAAATCTCACAACGAGCACTAATGACAACATTCCAAACACATCTTCATTGGCGCGAAATATAATCAATTTTCTTTTAAAGACTAGAATGTCTATCCATTATTTTCTCCACCAAATCTAAAGAAATGACTGAAGCAGGTAAAGATCTCTCGAATTCCTGAGAAAGTTAGAACGCAAATTATTGAGAAAGTTGCGAAGGCATGAGTAATCTCCAGAGGTTGACATTGCTTCATATTATCTAGTGGCCGATTTCGTAACTAATACCCCCGCGACTCTACCCGTATTTCTTCAATCATTAGATTTATTATTACTAATTCTGCAATTAAGTTTGAGGACTTGGTGGCAGAATACACTAACTTAACATTACAGAACTTAACAACTTAACAAAATCTACAAACTTTACAAATTAACGTGAACATTTTACTGTGCAATCTTTCATAGCACTTCACTTCACCGCACTGCGAAACACCGAGGTACATAATGTCTTTCTTACACATTCGTTTCCCTCAGTTACACAACGTCACTGCACTTCACGCCACTACACATAATTAATAATAATAATGATAATAATAACAATAACAATATTAATAAAGTTTCAAAAGAAGTTGCGCGAGTAATAGGCACTCCTCAATACTCGCGCGTTGTTTGTCGAGCGAAATAGCTGGTCGATGTCGGAGGACTAGGTCGATTGCTTTAGAATCTACAACTAGTGGTGCTACAACAGCAAGTTCTTTCTCGCATTATTTTTTTACGGCTACGTAATATTATAACACTACTTGATCATGTAAAAATGTTTCCCACCAACACATTTTTTCAACGCTGGGATTCAAACTGACGTTCTTTTTGTCTAGCATGACATTCACGTAACATCATCAGATCACGTTATATCACCACCTTCTCAGCTGAATCTCCCCATCGCGATAGTTTCTACTTATTGATTCTTCCGTTTCTACTTGTATTCTTAATTCTTGTATATGAGTCACGGTCATTCATCACCTCTCCGATTAAACTATTGACAAAATCACAGAGAGGAGAGTTAAGTCAATTTTATGAAGATGTAGTTCTAATAGTTATTAATAACTAGATATATAATTTACTTGACAAATTTATACACACATTTATAAGAAATTTATTGAAATGTAGTGAATTCAATGTGTTTTGAAATAATTTCTGCTCTACAATGTTCAAACGAAACTTTATTTCCAATTTTCTTCAAACTCAATTTTATAACACAACCTTCTCTACCCCAACATCAATATGTACGTAAAAGAACCACGTTTTTATAAAGAACAGACTTCAGCGCCGTGTATTTCACTGGGGGCGCCTGCGTGTGTCCCACTCCCACGCCTGGCCCTCGGGCCATCTAAGGAACATTGGCAACCGTGTGTCTTTTAGTGTTTGAAGATTCCACGGAACCCCAATTTACAAGGAAAGCAGGAGGCCCCGGGCCCTTTGTAACAAACGTCAAGGAATAGTCTCACCTCCACGAGAACATGGCGAACGACAACATTCACCCGGAATGACCTCGTATTATAATATCAAAATATATAAAATGTCGCTATGCTACACGTGTCTAATGTCTTGACGAGGCTTCGATTTTCGCAATTAACACACCTTCCGTAAACGCATTTCATTTCAAAGTTCGTCTTTGCTCTCTTTTGATACTACTCCAATCATGTCAGTCTGTAACGACGGTTCTATAGTCTACGTGATTAAACCAATCAACCTCGAGCCTCACCAACTCCTAATCTTCGACGCATTGTACACCAAAATACCTTTTTTGTCAGTTAAAACGCTGCATTATCACTTCAACGACGAAATTATAACTTGGTCCCCACAACCCGTTCCTCACTTTGATTCTCGGACTTGGCGATGCCGGAGTCGATTCGTTACGATGAAGGATAAGACGTGAGCCTGTATGTGGTACCGACTTCGGTGTCTCAGGACATTAATTGATGTGACTGTATTGGGTCTGAACGGGAGTTCATAGAGTTCTGGCTCCGACAGTGGAATGATTTTCGACACTTGCTACTTAGCTAGTTCGAATTCAGCCGCTGTCTTCAGGAGAATTGTAGTGGCCGGCCGGCGGTTTTCGTGACAGTACAAGGCGAATGCTGGAGGCGAATGCTGCTAACAAACAGGTCATAGCCCGCGCGCGCTTTTTCCTTCCTCTTCCTTGACATAACCTTACCCCTTATTTACTGTCACATGCACTACACTCTCACACATATTGGGAGACCAGTACGGGGCTGAAAGCTTGACCCTACTGGTGCCGTGTAGGTGGGAAAAACGTAGTCGGAGAGCAAGCAGAGGACCGGAGCATTCAGCGGGCAAAGATGGCCGCCACATCCCGCGATTCAAACGCGTGCCCTTCCCTTAGGCCGCTTGCCCACGCCGCGGCAGAAGCGCGCGAACGCCATTCATCAGGACCCTCCGGCGACGACGGACAAAGGGACCGCAGCAGGTACCTGCTTCGGTCCCTTTGTCCGTCGTCGGCGAAGAGCCCTGATGATTGACGTTCGCGCGCTTCTGCCGCGACGTGGGCAAGCAGCCTTACGAAGCGGGCGGGGCGCGGCGCGGCGCGGTGCGCAGGTGGAGATGTACTTCGAGCGGCAGCTGGGCGGCACGTACTTCCGCGAGAGCGCGCTGCTGTCGCTGCTGTCGGCGAGCCTGCGCGAGGAGCTGCGCGACCACGAGCTGCGCCTGCTCATCCGCGACTCGGACGTGCTGCGCCGCCTGCCGCCGGGGCTGGGCGCGCGCGTGGCGCGCTGCCTCAAGCGCGAGATCTTCCTGCCCAACGACGTGGTGGTGCGCATCGGCTCCTTCGGCGACTGCATGTACCTGCTGGCGGCCGGCACCGTGTGCGTGGTGCTGCGCAACGGCTTCGAGTTGTCGCACATCGAGGACGGCGGCTTCTTCGGCGAGATCGAGATCCTCACATCCATGGATCGGCGCATGGCCAGCGTCATCGCCGTCGAGGTGCGTACACACGGCACGCACTAATAACTAGAGCCCGAAAGTTTGTTTTACCTGAAGTAGGCAAAAAAGGCATATATTTTTACAAAAATAGACATGCAAAAAGGCATACATTCCAGCTAAAGAAAAGGTGCAAAAGAGCATTTAAACAATGAAAAAACACATTTTAAATCACTTGGCAAGACATTCGAAATAAAAGAAAATGTATAAAAAGACGATTAGTCACGGCGAACAGCGTCCATGCCAAGAGGTAGGGGCATCAAATAGAACCAAATCTCCCATAATATAACAGAGATTTTGAGAAGGTCTTTTTTTGTAGAAAATGGTTTAGAAACTTAATTGGGATCCCTCCTGTTCCCCCTGTCCTTTTATTTTCCGACATATTACTCACATGTTCCCTTACGTCATCTCCTCCCTCTCGGCATCCACTTATTTCCCTGTCTTGCTCCCTCCAAATCTCATGGCCACTTTAGGGAAACGGAACCCTATTTTAAAGAGCATGTGACGCATCTTTTTTGGGAGTGTGTACGCGATTACAATGTGCATTTTTGTGGAATTATTCTATTTAATAATTTTGATTGGGAATAAATATGTTATAAATGTATTATATATGAACATCATGACTGTTAGGCCGTTAGAATAGAGAGCTTATACGCCTTTACCGGACATAAATACATACCACACACAAAAGTATCAATACACCGTATTTCTCGTTCAAACGTCTTACCCATCGCGTTGTTTTCCTGAACGGCTAATCTTCTCGATCTTCTCTTCATGATGTTCGCAGAGAGTACGAGCAAGGATTAAAAGGATAGCATCAGCGAACTCAGTGAATCTGGGTGTTCATTTTGACAATTTGTACAACATATAAATGGCGTGGATGTTACCAAGGTACAGTTTTGAAACTATTGGGTACAGCAAAGCACTCGCTGTCGACCGCAAGGATCAGAAAGTAGACAACCACAGTCGTCCTTGCTGTGTGGCATTAAGACGTTGATATATTGGGAGTGTAGTAGTTTACACAAGAATGATTCCATGTTTTGTATATTAATGAGGAAATTATCTAACTATAATAATTTAAAGTTTTAATATATATATATATATATATATATATATATATATATATATATATATACAGTATATACACAAATGTATGCTGATATATCAGAGCGGTGAACTCCGACATCGTGTGACCGATCTCCGTGAAAG